GTGCAGGAGAACGGAGTGTGTCAGCAGGATCCAGCGCCGCCTCAAGAGCTTCTCGTTGAGGGGATGTCACCTATCCCAGAGCTCCAGGTCCCTGGGCTCTAGGTAATGCTATTCCCACAGCAGGGCCTTGGTGGAATGAGGGTGAAGGGGTGCAGGGAGCTGGTGGGAATCGAAGAGAAGGAAGGTGGGAGAAGGAAAGGTCCATGAGGGGAAGGGCTGCAGGGAGAAATAAGAGAAAGTGAGAGGAAGAAAGCCTTTATAAATAGTGGAATTTAACTTTTGGGAGGAGGGAGAGAATTGATGTGTGCTTAGGCATTTGTCCAGGTGGAATATTTACTCATGGTTTAGTAGCCAGAATGAAGTTAGTGTTAAAGTAGAAATGAAGTAATATTCCAGACGGGAGGTGGGGGTGACGGCGCATCAGTGGGTGCAGGGTGCATTAGAAACGTGTTTATGAGATAGAGATAGTACCACACGTGAAGATGATGATACGCATCAGCTTTGACTTCTCCTGAGACATGCTGTCCCACCTTTTTTCCTTTTTTTTTTTGCTTTCAACTGTTTTATTGCTAAACTATCATGATACAAGCCGTATAAAAATACATTACAATTATAAAAAAAAAACATTACATACAGCAGAAAAAAACTACATTAAACTGGGGATTAAAAAACATTTTGCAGAGGAATGTGATGTATTCAAACTTCTTTAATAGTCAAGATTTTCAAAACATAAGCCTTCCAGCACTGTCCCATTGGAGAGACTTCTTTCTACTTGTCAGAGAACTAATGAGTCTTCCATTCTAAACATTTTCTTCCCTCTCAGGGTTGTAGAGGCCACAGGGGTTAAGTGAGGTTCTTTGACAAGATGCTCGGGGTACTAAGTTTGTCCCAACCCCAGCCTCCATCTGCTCAGACCAGTCAGAATGCAGAAAGCACCTGCTCTGTGGAAACAGTCTCATCCAGCCAATCCATCCAAACCCTCAACTAGGCAGGTGTTCAGTCTGGTCCGCGGTAGGTTGCATAAAGGCAGACTGTTAAACCTTTCTTCCAGCCCCTAACACCTCATCTTATTTTCAGAGGGAATTGCTTAAGGACTACCTCTAGCTCAGTAGTCACCAGAAAAGTTTGTTTTTAAACAGTCTGAGTTAGGTTGTTGGTTATAATTCAAGGTTATGAGAGCTGAGGGGAACAGACATTTGGGATTACAGTTTTACATGATATTTCTTTTTCTTAAGCCTTTAGTTGGAGTACAGGAAGACATTTGTATTGGCTGCTTTCCGTAAGATTTAATGTCCAAGTCCCAGATTTGGGAGACCAGAGGTAAAGATGTTTCAGGTATCTGCTAAAGTGCTGCCCCTCTAAAAAATGAGTTCAGGAACGTTTACCTCACCTTGTCAAGAATGTCACAGCTTCCATGCCTGTTGTAAATGTGAAGTAAGCAACGTTGTTAATTCGACCTCTGACATTCTTTCTGTTCTGAATGATAGAAAGCACGTGACATGAAAATAAACAAATTCAGCCTGAAGTGACAGAACACATCAGCTCCAATCTGTCTAAATATGACAGCTCCCACACGGGTCAAGGCTGGCTTCCTTAGAGGGATGTCTTGCTACTGGATGTAAACAAGAACGGCTACATGAGTGCTTCCCAGTTCTTGAAGCAATCAACTTGATCCATCCCAGGTTGTACCTATACTGGAAAACACTAGAGGTCCTTTGGAGAATGCATATGAGGGTTATCTGCCAGGATTTGGTCAGCTCTGTAAACATTAGCCTGCACTTAGGATTCTGTGAATGTGAACTCTTTTTGAATACATTAGAAGCCAGGCAGTTGGGTTGTTGTCCCACTTTCTTAAATCCTTGATTTTGTGATGGCTGGTGGGGTTAGGGCCATTTTCTGTGGCCATGGAGAAAGTAAATCTTTTTGCCTCACTTATGACTAGACTCAGTGTGTTTTTGATGCTATCCTGTGTCCAATGCTGAGTTAGACTTCTAGCATGTTAGATCATAGATCAGGAAGCCAAATACTAAATACACACACACACACACACACACACACACGCGCGCGCGCGCACACACATACACACAGGCATCCTTAGACCCAAGAGATGCAGCTGCTACAATCAGCCAGGCGCTTCCCTGAAGCAGGGTCCTTGGGCTTGTTATTCCTTCTGCCTGGAACTTCTATTCCTGTTCTTTGTAAGCCTTTCTTTTTCTTATCCTTTACATCTCTGTCCAAATATCTTCTTCAGAGAGGGCTTCCCTAACCATCCTATCTAAACAGATCCCCTGGCATTTTCTCTCTCAGTACTGCTTCTCAGATACTAATATTTTTAAATGGATTTGCTTATTAATTTGTTTTATTTCTTGTCTCTCCCTCCAACTCCAAAAGTGTAGGGACCATGTCTCTCTGGTTTGCTGTTATCTCCCCAACTCTTAACACAAGGTCTGATTCATAAATAGGACTCAACTATTTGTCAAATGACTGAACCAATAAATTAACTGCTCTGGAGTCATATTCCAGGTCTTTAACAGATAAAAACTTGGCACCATTGTATTGGGGTCTTACTGTTTTAGAATAAAATTTCAAACTGCGGGAAACTATGTTTGACTATTTAAGAGGACTCCTGTCCCCGTTTTTCCTTCCAAGTATCCTGAAGTTGGACCTCTCTTCATGTCCCTTGAACCCTGCCCCCCTCTTCCCAATTAGCTCTGATTTCTGTGAGCTTCCTTCTTTGATTGCTGTGAGAAATTTTCACAGTCATGGCCAGACCCTGTATTTTCCATATAATATTCTGTCAATATAATCACCTCCGGTTTGTGAATTTTATTCAGAACAGTTTTAGGGTTTTTAGGGTTTGGTTGAAAACCTGCATCTCCTCTGGTGCTTAAAATCTTTAGGAAGGCAGGAGGGAAGGATTGGAATGGGGAGGCTGGAGCCTTGAAGAGCGCTGTGAAGCCACAGGGGCTGACGGGGAGCTCCTTCCACCTCGGGGCAGACTCCTTAACTCGCCAGCTGCCCAGGCCCATGCTGTTCTTCCTGCGCGCAGGCCACCCTCTCACCTGGCTTTGAGCCGTCTGCTCACTGACTCGGTCTTGCCCCTGCTCCAGTCAGCTCTGCAGGCTGTGGCTGGGATGATCATTCTAAACCTGATTCTGCCACTCCCTCAGCAGAACCCCTGAAGGCTCCTTGTTCTTTTCAGAACAAAGTTCAGACCCTGTGATAAGGCTCAAAGGTCCTTCAGGAACCTCATGATCAAGGGTCCCCCCCTACCACCGGCCTCAGCTCTGGCACCTTGCTCACTCCCTGTGCCTCGCTCGTGACACCATACTGAATTTTTTTGCCATTCTCTGAGTGCCGCGCTCTTCTGCGCCTCCAGACCTCTGTATTTGCAGCCTAACTTCTGCCCTCCCATTTCTTTTCACCTGACCACTGACTCTCTATCTGACCTTATCATACTTCACCTTAGACTTCACTAGCCCTGGGATGCCTTTCCTGCCTAACCTTCCCAACACTATATAGCAGGGCCCTTCCTGCAGTCTCCCCATCCCCACAGCTGAGTTTACTAAATCTTAGCAATTATCACAATGCAATGTAATGACCTATCTGTTTTCTTAACTAGAGCACAGCCACTTGAGATCACTAGCTGTATCTTATTTCTCTTTGTAGTCTCTGAATTTATTGAGAGCAAGGATGCAATAAATGTTCCCTGAATGAATGATGAATGAACGAATGAAAGTATGCAGCTGAATGCCAAAGAAAGCACTGTGACCATATTTGCAAACATCAGCTCTGTCGAGTGACTGTGTACCAGGGAACCTGAAAACAAAATAAGTGATACTCAGACATTCTGGAAAAATCAAATGCATACGGCAACCTCAGGCATAAAGTGTCCCTGAACTGAAAAGAGCCCTCCCAAGTAGCTGCTTCCTTACAACAACAAGAAGGGAACAAGGCATATGAGATTAAAACTGGGAAGAAAGAAAAAATGTAGGGAAAGGATTAATTAATTCCCTGAGGAGAGAATTCCCTTTTTCAATGGGAAAAGATACATTTTCTTCTGTTTCCCTTTGGCCACAGATCGAGAGATTGCTCAAGTAACAGAAAAATAAGTCATGTGTTGATCCTAATCGTCAGTGGCTTTCTGCAGAAGGTGGGTTCTCACTGCTGGAGCCCCTCTTGTTTCCTGGCGGGTGTGGGAATACTTGCTGAGCTGAATTGCTCAGTGTTAAAGGGTTGGGTTAGTTAGAAGGTGGAGGAGGTCAAAGGGGTGAAGGGAGGTAGAGCAAGTGGAGGAAACTGGAGCCTGACCTGTTTAGGTGAGGCTAAGCCATGAAATGGGGTGCATGGTAAAGCCCAGGGGACAGGGGACCCGGAACCCCAACATGCCCAATGGGTGTTTATGAACTTGTGTGCTGTATGATGTAAGACTACATACCCCTTCAAAATCTTTAGTATCGTTGACTGCAAATGGGTCCATTCTGGGGAACTCAGCAAGGTGCAGAGTATTACTGTATCTGTTGGCAGAGGACAGTCATTCCCTTGGCTATCTGCATTACACTTACATACCCAGAAAATGTTTTGAAAGAAGCATATTGTTTAAACACCCATGTTCAAAAGTGGACAGTAGTGGGACTAGGTATTTGTATGTGAAATTCTTTTCTTATTAAGACACTATCGGCTGTTGTTGAAACAGTCTTCTGGGATTTCAGAAGAACTGGTCAGTTGGTCTTGCTATGGGAACAACATCAATGGGGGATCATCTCAGCCTTTTGGCTATTCATTCAGAAATCTCCATGGTCCCTACTGTGCTGCAGGCTCTGTACTAGACTGTGGAGATGGACTGGCCAACCAGTTCGAACCCATCTCTGGATATAGTATAAGGACTGCTATGGGCCTTCTGGACCTAAGTCATACCCCCAGAACAGGAATCTTACTGAACACTACTGAATGTATGTCTTGCTACAGCAGAGGGCTTACCCTAGACCAGACAGAGATCATTTTGAATTGTTCTAAATATGTTTATATTTAAATATGTCTCAGATAAGAAAATAGAAAGAATGTTTCATCCGCTGGGGGAGCAGGAACAAAGCCTTTCAAAAGTGTTGCTCTAGGCCCTGTGGATTTCAGGCAGGGGCTCTCAGCGGCTGCTCCATCTCCACCTGTTTCCTAGCTGTCTGGGGCCGCCTTTTCTTTGGTGAGACTCTGCCCCCAGGCCCTGAGCTGGGAGCTCTCCTCACAGGGGCTGCTTGAGGGGTGCTTCTCTTGAGCTGGAAGTTAACCTGGAAGAAAAAAAGAAGAAGCTAGGAGAGTACAGGAGTCAGTTTTCTACTTCCTGGCATTGAACTGGGGAAAGACCTGTTTGGACCTGGGTTCACCACAGTTCGCAGTTCTGAGGGCAGCAAACCAAGGAGAATTATTACACAATGAGCCACAGCAGCACCGCTGGTGTGATACAGGCTGGGCTGATGTTTCCCAACAAGGAGACACAATCACTGGTGATAATACATAATCACTGGAGGATCTGGATGAATTTAATACACACTCACTTTATTTGTATTAGAAAAAAATTCCATCTACACCTCAAATGACAATTTCACCAATATTGTTGCTTAGGACAAGAGCTATGACTGATGGTGCCATAATAATCCCCTTTATGCTGACTGTGAATCACAGGTGTCCTGTTCAGGCATGCCAATGAATGCCTTGACCTTCAGAACCACATCTCCTGCCATAACTGTTTGGAAATACGGATAGGAGAGATGATACAGAGGGCAAGTGTGGATTCCTCAATTCCAAATATCCAAGTGCATGAAGGCATCCTCTCCAGCAGTACACTGAAACCTGCCTGCTGGCGATGGCACGCAGATGGAAAGATGCTTTGGGCTGACAAAGTGGGCTGTGTGGCTGTGCAGCTGCTAGGGAACCTTCCCGGGAGTACTGAGAGAGGGAGTGGCACAGTGTTGTAACCACGCTCCCCCGAGGCAGCCTTGGCTTGCAGGACCTTGGAATGGTTTGAGCTGCTGAAGCCAGCTGGGAGCTGGAAAACATGACTCCCCAGGGGTTATTTCCTGCCCCATCCACAAAAAGCCACAGCCAGCTTTCACTCAAGTTCCTTAAAGTGGCGGCAACCAGGGCCAATTGCACTGTATCATTACTGTTTCCTATAGAGTAATACAGAGAGCTGGGAAAGAAAAAAAAAGACACCAAAATGAGGCAGGTACAGGGGAAGATGAATGGAGCAGGACCTCTAGATGGTACCTGGCCTCAGACATCTGGAAGGCTGCAGGGGAAGCAGGAGGGAAATGGCTCTGGGAGACATTCGAAAGAGTCTTAATTGTACCATGAGAACCCTTTAGTAAATGATCTTTTTCTTTTTTTCTTCCATCAACCAGATAGATCTCTGCTTAGAATGGGAAGAGAGACTCTACTGTGATCAGCAAATGGATTCCTAGTTGTTGCTATATCTGGGAAGTGTGGCCAAAAGACAGATTTTTTTTTTACTCCTCTGAGTTATATTTGACATATGATGAATTATGTTAATTATTAAAGCTGTATAACAAGGGAAGTGAAATTTTTTGAAATAGAGTATGTTACTTAAGAGGATTTGCATTTATTTGAATTTGGTATTTAAGAGACTTGTTAGTAATGCAAGACTTTTCTGTATGCAGCTGCCTAACAGTCCTTTGATTTTAGAGTAGATGTGGAGCAGGGGTATAACAAGGAAAAGGGGAAAGAGGATCTGTCGGCTGGGAAATTGGGACCAGGGTACAGGCTGCCATGGAAGAATCGCTCTGCTTCCTGTGTCTGCAAGTAGAAGTTTATAATATGCAGGAGACAGGAATGGACGGACTAGTAGAGGGGAAAGGGGGAGCTCTCTAGAAATTTGAGAGGAATTTTCAAAGGATTTCCAAGAACTCTTTACCCTGATCTGTATGTTAAAATAAGGAGTTGTGAGCACAGGTTGCGAGCTTACTTAGTGTGAGGCCCTTGTACACGCTGGCTAAGCAGACATCCCTGAAAGCCCAAGAGAGGTTCGGATCATGACTCCCACCACTCACCCACTGTGTGGTGCTGGACAAGTTTCTTGCTTTCTCTAAATTTCAGTTCCCTTAGCCATAAATGGGAATATTTATACCCACCCTACTGGGTTGCTGTCAAGGATGAAGCAGATAATTCTGGAAAGTTCTCATACAGTGTCTGATACATAGTAACGGTTCAATAAATAGTATCTATAACTGTATGAAAAAAACAAGCTACTTGACTTGACTGCATTGAATTAACAGGGAAAGGGAGAGAGGGTCTGCTACATTCAAGGGTTGCATAGAGAAGGAACTGGGTAGAGAGAGGAGCCCCGAGGGAAGGATGACATGTGGGAAATAAGGCCTGTAGATGTTCACTGAACAGGACCACCTCATTACCTTTTCCTCATTTGAGACCTCTGAGGAGTAGTGTCCATGATCTCTGAGCCACTTTAGCTCTGAGATCCTAGTCTATTAAGACCACAGATGAAAATGCCCACGCGGGAAATCAAAAAAAATCTTTGCTTCTCATCCTACCTACAAAAGAAAGCACAGAGGGTCGAATGTTGGAGGGCAGCTGACTCTTACTTAGCTGAAGCATATAGATATCAAGGCTGTCTGGGCACACTGGGCACTAGAAGAGGCAGAGTGCCCTCTCGTGGTAGGCCTTGCTGATGGCACAGAAGAATGTAACCCAAGGGAGCCTGTGTGTCTGGGCAAGGTCTCTGAGATACACAAGCTCACATTTGTTGAGCACTTTCTATGTGGAGGTCACTGTACATGCTTTACATGCACTCATTCCACCCTATTGTGGAGGTATTATTATCACTAATTTACCGAGGAAAAAACTGAGGAAGAGAGCAATTAAGTAATTCATTCAAGGTCTGTGGACAAATGAGCTGGCTTTAGAACCAGACAGTGTTTCTAATCATAATGCTCTGTTAAACAGAAGAAAAAGGGAAAGCCAGAGGAAGTAGGGAAGGATATAACAGGAGAATGACAGAGAAAAGTAGTATATGACAGCAAGGATTTTTTTTTTAATGGTGAAAGGGGGAAGCTCAATAAAGTTAGAACTGTGTCATTGATTGCTGATGGCTTTGCATAGTGATCTTTACAGTGCTCTGTAAGGGTCAGCCCAACTCACCTGTTTTGGTTCCCCAGGACCTACGGTCACACTCACTGTCTCTGGGTCAAAGCCAGGAGCTGTGGCAGTGACCATGTAGGTACCTGGAAGCAGCAGCCGGAAGTAATCGCCATGGTCACCTAAAAGTTGCAAGGATATAACTCAGTCTGCTGATTAGAAATCTGCCCTAAATGGGCCTTGATATGAAAACAATTTGAGGATTTTAACTGGCCATAAGCTTAATTTTTCTTAATAGCACGACAAAACTGGTTGAGACTAAAACAATCATAGACTATCATACGCAGTAAGAGCATGGGCCTCAGCTCCTGGAAAGTGGAAGTTTCGCTGTGCTCTGCAAATTGAGAATACTGTGTTTAATTCTCGACCTTATGTTTTAAAACAAACCACTAGGGTCACTAGGAGAAAAGTTGAAAGATCTATGAATGTTTTGCCTGGTAAAGAAACTACATGAGACCTTTGTTTCAACGTTTAAAAAGTCACTATGAAGAAATGATGTCTACCTAAATAAGAATGAGATCTATGAATTTAAGTTGTAGGAGGAAGACTGATGAATGGAAGCAAAGTCAATTGTGACAGAGCTACCAAAGAAAGAAATGGACTGCTTTATGAACCTGTGAACACTCAAGCAACAGACTGAATGAGGGATCCTGGAAAAGCTACACAGTTGTGCAGTGTACAACCTGCACTAAAGGATGTGGGGGCCTCGGTTAGCCAACCAACTGTCGCTGGGGTTATATGTGTGTCATCTTAAATTGTGTGGGAGGGCTGGACTAAATGACCACTAAAAGTATGATTTTGAAATTACTATTTCTAATATTTCTTCTATCACCTTCAAAAGAGGAAAATAAAATTCCAAAGAAAGCCAATTACTCTATGTCAGGGATATAGCATTTTTGACTAATGACTTTATATATCTTCAGAATCATTTGTGACTGTGCCTTTAAAATCTTTTTTAGTGTACAGCAATAGATAAATGAAACAATAAATGCAATTAAGAATGAGACAGACAATAAATAATGAGGAATTCTCTTTCCTGCCCCCTATTAAATATCTGTAATTTAAAATACGTGAGCAAAAGCAGTGTGTTATTATGCATAGGTTGGGTAGATTATGTTACACCCCAGAGCTGTCATTTTCTTAACTGGGGGCTCGCTCCTAACACTCAGGAGTGGTTAGCTAGTTAGTTGTATCAGAAAGGCCCAATTTCAGATGCAGCTACTACAAGCACTTCAGCCAACTTTATCTCTAATCAACATTAGATGCTTGGCTAAGTAACATAAGGAATGTTAGCAATGAGTTTTTCAGAGGTGAAATGAGTAATTTGTTAATTGAGCATAATGGGGCTTGGAAGTGGGCTCTTATTGGTGAAATTAGTGGTATCCAAATATATGTTGATCGGTTGGAATGTTTCAGAGACATTCCCCATCCTTGCATGGACAGGGTGTAAGAATCCAGCAAGCTTGGAAACTCTAAGGGATGCCAGAGACTTGATCCCTAAACAGTCCTGACTCCAGCCACTGGGCTGGAGGATTCCAGTTGTCTGATGCTTACTATGAGGTTGAGAATTCTGCTTTTAGAATGTTGCTGTCTTTGCCTTGAATGAACCTTTCACATAAGATATGTTGCAATCACCTTAAAGAATATTAGTTAACTCCTTACAGTTTAGATTTCATCCAGTTTAAACAGACTGTCTGAACTATAAGATGCCTGCTTGATAATAAACATTAGTGTGGTAAAATGCAGCTGAGACTTACTTATAGTGGTTGTGGAGGTAGGTAAATCTACATTAAAAACAAAACAAACAGCCCCCAGACCCCTAAGAGTTATGCATGATCAAATTGGGCTGGAGCAGTCTGCAGCACCACTGTGCTGTGAGATATTGTGTATCATTCTAGGAGGTTCCAGGTTGGCTCCAAGAAGATTTGCCTCCACCACCCATCTTGCCCTGTAACAAGCCTATAGGATACATCTTGCTAACTTTTCCCTGAATGGAGGTGGAGTGAACGCCTGGCTCAGGGACAAGATTAAACATCAGCTTTACAGTCCTTTTCTCTTCCACCCCATTTCACACCAGTATGTGAGCTATGAATAGCTCAAACCCTGAAAACACCCGTAATGTAATTGCATGAGATGGTGACTCCTGAGTGCTGAGAGAGAAGTTACATTTACATCTCCTGATCCTTGCCTCTTAATTCAGTGACCCCATTTCTACTAGGCTCCCTTCTTCCAAACCCCCACTCCATGTCCTTGACATCCCTGCTTGTCTCCCTGGCTTACACACTGGCCACCTGATCATGCTGAAGAAAATGAGAAAGTGAAACTCCCCTTTGATTCCGCGAAGCAGTGGCCACTTACCTGAAGTGACATCATGGTTAATCCCACCGACAGAAATGACAGCATCTGCAAGATTATTATAATTCTCATCAAGCACCATTCCCTTGATGCCCTGGTGCACCTGTAGGAAAGTTTATAGTGTATGTATTTATGATCATAACACATTTATACAGCCTTTGAGAGTCCTCAAGGTGTTTTCTCATATGTTTTTGCATTTGATCTTCACAGAGATTATGGTAACACCCCTTTACTGGGCTCTCTGCCCAGCACCCTGTCCCCAATAATCTCTTTTCGATAGAGCTGTCGGAGTGATCCTGTTAAAATGGAAGTCAAATTATGTCACTAGCCTACTTTCTTTCTGTATGAATTTGACTACTCTTGATACCTCATGTAAGTAAAATTATATATGTACTTTTGGAAAGAGTTTTTTCATTTAGCATACATAGTATCTTCAGGGTTCATCCATGTTACAGCCAGAATTTCTTTATTTTTTAAGGCTGAATGATATCTCCTTGTATGATGTTCCACATCTTGTTTATCCACTCACCTATCAATGGGTTGCTTTCACAGTTTAGCTACTGTGAATAGTGCTGCTATGAACATAGGTGCACAAATATCTCCTTGAGATCCTGCTTTCAGTTTCTTGGAATACACAGCCAGAAGTGATATTGCTAGATCAAATGGTGATTCTATTTTTAATTTTTTGAGGGCTCACCATACTGTTTCTAATAGCGGCTGAACCATTTTATGTTCCAATTAACAATATACAAGGGCTATACTTTCTCTATATCCTTGCCAACACTTGCTATTTTCTTCATTTTTTTTTCTTAATTTGTGTTTTTAGAACAGCCATCCTAGTGAGTGTAAAGTGCTAGCTCATTGTGATTTTGACTGGCATTGTCTAATGACTAGAGATGCTGAGTACCTTTTCATGGACTTTTGTAGGCCTTGCATTTGCTGTTGTGTCTCCATCAGGGAGCCCTTTTTTCCCCAGATATCTGCATGGTTCTCTCCTCCTTTCAGTCTGTTTAAATTGTCACTTTTTCTGCAAGACTTTCTTCATAGCACGTTGCATTTAACATGTTATAAAATGTTTTATTTTACTTTTTTATTGTCTGTCTCTTCTCACTAGAATATAAGCTCCATAGGAGCAGGGATATTTGTTTACTCAAAATCCCCAGCATATAGTACAGTTTCTGACAGATCGCTGTGCTCAATAACATTAATGAATAAATGTCATTGGTAGAAGAAGCTCATATCTATTGTATTGAGTCAGAGCAAAAGTCAGACCAGAGTCACACAAAAAAACCTTGCCTACCATTACAAAACACCGTGAAAGTTAAAGGGTTTTACCTGTTCCAAGAATTGGATTAGGGCTTCCCGATTACCCAACCACTCTCGCTGTAATTCCTCTTGGTGGGGAAATTTGTCACAACTCAGTTCCAGCGTGATCTCAAAACAGTTGGTATGGAGATAATTGAAGTCTTGCATTCCTGTGGGGAAGAGGGCAGCGGCAGATATGCCCAACCAGGCTCCAACCCTACACCCCATCTCAATTCTCATTAATCACAGTTTTCCACATGCACATCCCCATGCCTTTTATTCTTCCTCTTGAATTCCATTTATTTTTCTCTTCCACAAAACCTTGCCCCAATTTCCCGGTTCACATGCCTTCTTATCTTTCCAGTTTTCTCTCTTCACAAATGCCCATTTTATCATCTCTATCCTCTACTTTTTTCCTTTTCATGAATTAAATTCACTTCTTGTCCCTCTTAGCATTTCCAAAGTCCACTTATTAGTGGAGCCTCAATATTAAACTATGCATGTGTACTGCTTTCAGGGGGCTGATTTTCTCTTTGCACTGTGATGCCCTTCAGACCTGGGAGGCTAGAGATGAGATGACTGTCTGGCTTTCACATCTGTCCTCCTACCTGAGACCACAGCACTGACTTGAGAAACTAGAGGAACAGATTCCTGTAAAAGCAGAAGGCAGCTAGAGTTTCCCTCCATTAGATGCTTGTCTGCTTCTATCTTATATATTATCCAGTTGAATAATTTTTTAAATATGTTTCTGATAATTAGAATGATGTTTAGAGCACAAATTTATCTGGGTTAAAAATTTAATCAACTTTCATCTGCTTTGTCAGCTGCTAAGTGCGAGCAGCTGTTACGGACAGAAGGGGAACGTGGGAGAGTACCTATAGCCTGTCACACTGGTTTTCCCTACATCAGAATTGGTTGAAGGCTGTGCATTCAGGACAAATACAAGCTGCTGGGCTGTAGCCCAGAGTCCATGATCCAGTGCGTATGGTGAGGAGCCTCAAATTTTACATTTCTAACAAGTCCCCTGGTGATGCTGATGACACTGGTCCAGAGACCACACTGTTGGAACAATCATTTTGATGAACTTAATAATCTTGGAATTGTACCAGCTTAATTTAGGGCAGTGATTCTCTGTGGAGGCGTGGGCCATGTTTTCCCAGAGGATGGGAAGGGAAAGAGAGGAACAAGAATAATTTTTAAAAGTATATTTGATATTTTAAATTAGTGGGGGCACCTATTGCTTTCCTAACGGCAAACTAATGAAAATAAAATTCCACAAAATCTTCTTGCCTGTGTTCAAATGAGTTTTTGGCCACAAGAAGTCTGTCACCTTCCCAGTTCACAGTGACTCATAACCTTCCTCCTCCCCACTCTCCACAGGACCAGCCGTCAGCTCAGCTTTTACTGGTGAGCTCTATGTTACCTGGGCTCTGGCCAGGACAGATTTGAAAGGATGGGGAAAGACAGCTGCTCACGCACGGTCCCTAAAAGGACCTGGCCTCCGGCTGCAGCCTCCTCCTTATCCTTAGGTTCTTATCTACTGAAGGTTCACAAACAGAGGTTCTAACTCAGCCCTCAAGTGAAGGGGAAAGCCCACGGAACAGCAAGAGGAGCCTCTCTGCTACGTTATAAGAGCCGATGTCCATGGCAAACTCCTGCTATGGGAGATGGGCAGGCAGGGCACAGACAGCATCCATCACAGGAACTGTTTGTGTCCAGGCCAGCTCCTCTGCTCATCTGTGGCTGTGGGAGGCACACCTCCATGCTACTGAGGAAAAAGCCTAACATTTATAATCCAGGCATTTCCATATGCTGTGTATCATTTGATTTAATACTTACGTCAAACTTATGAGGCAAGTATTGCTATTCTTACAACACAGATGAGAAAACCAAGCCCAGAAAGGTTAAGTAAATGGGCAAGCAGGGCTTCAATGCACCTTCAGAGCCCACACTTGTAACCACTTGACTACACTGTTTCCCTCCTCTGCCCTGATCTACTACGTAAGCCATTAAAGACCACAAGGTGTCCCTACCTTTGTTTTAAAGAATCACAAGGTGACATTAAATGCCAACTTCAGACTTCAGACTTCTCCATTTTTCTGATCTCTACTTGAATGCAAAATTCTATAGTATTTCTGTAGTTTTTCTAAGAAAAATGATTATTTAGAAAAAGAAATGAGCCCTATCCTACTTCAACTGTAAGCACTGTTATACCCAGGACTCTTACCCTTGCTGAGAGAATACCAGGAAGCCCCATTGGTGATGCCATCTGAGAAGTAATCCCCACAGTTCCAACCTTGGTACATCCATCCATGCGCATAGGAGTAGACCTTGGCCAGCTATAGGGAAACCGGGTGGAAAGGGATCTTGAGTGTTTCCAACTCATACAGCAATGCTCATACTCAGAAGTGGGGTGAAGCCAAGAAACCCTTCTAGGTATAAACAACCGATTCTTTGCTTTAGTGAAAGAAAATACCAGCAGGGATAGAGAGATGGGGTGTGGGTATAGGTGTAGCAGACTAGAGTTAGGAGACCTGTATTCTGGTTTTTCCACCATCTCAGGGCTAAATTCTTCAAGTGCAAAGTGAGAGGCAGCACTAAATGCCACATAAACCCCCTTTGAGGTGCATCATTTTCTAGTTGAGTTTTGAAAAAGGAATCAAGGTGCCAGTAAGACAGGCCTTCACCAAGAAAAGAATCACAGTAGTCTCCCCTCATCTGTGCTTCACTTTCTGTGGCTCATGTACCTGAGGCCAGCCACAGTCTGCAAGGCAATGATCCTCCTGACGTGTTGTCAGAAGGTCAAGAGTAGCCTAAGGTTACATCACAGTGCCTACGCCATTAGCCTCACTGCATCTCATCCCGTACGCACCTTATCATCTCACATCATTACAAGAAGGGTAAGTGCAGCACAATAAGACATTTTGAGACAGAGAGAGTGAGACCATATTCACATCTCTTTTCTTACAGTATGTTGTTACAGTTGTTCTATTTTATTATGTTATTGTTATTAATCTCTGACTGTGCCTAACTTATAAATTAAACTTTATCATAGGTATGTATGCATAGGAAAAACATAGTATATAGAGGGCTCAGTACTGTCTGTGGTTTCAGGCATCCTCTGGCGGTCTTGGAACATATCCCCCATGGACAAGGGGAGACTGCTGCATGTACTGGGGGTGAAAGGTATGTATTGGAGGGAGAGGAATATATTTGGAATCTCTATAATTCTCTTTCATTACTATTTTGTAACAGAAGACAAAATGAGATTACTAGAGAAGAAAATATAATAATATACTTGTTTTGCAAAGCAACAACTGGTGTCATTCTCCATGTAATCCATTGATTGAATTAATAATTAATGTTATTATTTATGTTAATTGTATATTATTAATAATATATTAATGATAAATTGGTTGATTTTATGCTATTGCTGTTTTTAACTATTATATAAACCTTTTCATGTGCATGATCTATTTTCATGAATATAGCCAATTACCATAAAATGATAAATTAGAACCCCCCAAATTCATATTTAATATATTACCTTATCACCAGCACCATTAGTCTTTTGGCATATCTCTTGCTTGTCTTTAGTATAAGTATTTTTTTATGTTATGGTAACTGTACTATAAAGCTTTCCTATTTATTTTTTCATGAATTTATGGCTTATCACTCAAAACAAAAGGTAACAATACTAGATTGTAAGCTCCCAACCAGCAGGGAGTGTTTTCAATTATTTTTTGTGGGCTCATTCCCAACAGGGTCCTGGGATGCTGACTTGACCCGTGTTACTCTCCGGAGCTCCAGTTCCTCTGGCTGGTCAAGCTGCCATTCTCCATACCTTCTGGAAAAGCTTGTCATCAGGCGTGGGGGTATTGGCAGTGCGGCGGAAACCTTGGACCCGATGCTCAAGGGACTTGTCATAAGGGTAATTGGCCACAACTGCCCCTCCATGGAGATTGGCTGAAAGAACAAAGTTGAAAGAGCGGATCCACTGGATCACGGCCCGGGTCTCCGGTTCCACCTGCAGAGAGATGAGAGAGAGCCTGGCGTGAAGCTCCAACTGGAGGTGCCACATGGCTGTCCAGATGAGGTTTACAGGAAGTGGCCTGGGAGGACAGAATAAGACATAAAGTGTCCTGCCAGATATCAGAAGTGCAGATGGGGAAATGGGGATCTTTTGCATCATGGTTTTAAAAATTAAGTGGAAATTAAATGGATGGAACCCTTTTTTGAAATGAAGTCTCACATGGAAATCCAATATACAAAATAGCTAAAAAGAGAGCCTTTAGGGCAGTGAAGCTATTGTGTATGATACTGTAATGGTGGACACGTGTCATGATACCTTGGTCCAAACCCATAGAATGAACCCTAGTGTAAATAATGGGCTCTGGGTGATGATGATGATGGGTCGTTGTGGGTTCATCAGTTGCCAAAACTGTACCACTCTGGTGGATGACAGCGATAACAGGAAGCAGAGAGTCCATGGGAATTCTCTGTACTTTCTGCTCAATTTTGCTGTGAACCTAAAACTACTCCGAGAAATAAAGTCTATTAGAGAGAGAGAGAGCAGTTTGAAGAGAGGGCTCATGACTGGAGAGTTCAGAGCCCCGGCACAGTGTCTCTGTGGCAACAAGGAAAGAGTTCTCCAGTTTACCCACTGCTCCAGCAGCCTTTGAAGCACCTCTGCAGAAATTTAGGGCTCTAGTAAATAAATCGGGAAAACGCTGGTTGACAGTATGGCTGACACCATATCTGCTATAATGTTGACATGGATGTGTGGAACCCAAGTTTCATGGATTAGACAGAGTGTAATATGGGCCAGTCTTGGCTAAGCAGTCTTGGCTATTGTTTTATTAGATTGCTTATGAGTGACAGTATTTTAAAGAAAGCCTTGAATCTACTTGGACTTGTAGTATAAGTAAATATTTTAGCGTCTTCAGTGTCTTTCCTCCTCTCACAATGTAAGTTATGTGTGTTACTATGTTAATGGCCCCTCCTGGACCAAGGGTCATTGTGAAGTCATCTTTTCCATCCCAAGGGGGCCTGGATGAATAGGGCTGGGTCTCACCCAGTCACAATGGGTATAATACCAAGGTCACCAGTCCTGCTCTGTGCCCTGTCTCCATGTCCTCAGCCTCTATCCACCGGGACAAGGCCAGCTCCTCATCGCTCCTCTCCCTCAAGGCTGTGCATCAGGAGCAAGACAGATTTACTTCTAATTGTCTTTTTCCTTCTAAGACGCAGACAGAAGAGCCAGTGAAAGTTTGTTATTGGCTCCATTACCTTATTTTTCTTAGACAAATTTAATAAACCAGAATATCCTTCTGAATATGCTGCTACTAAAAGCTACTTTTGATGTATTATTTACTTGCTATCTGAAATCTAAACATGTCAGCCTGACTTGCATCATTTCCAAGGGGAAAAATACTGAGAATATTACATTTGGAAACTCCCAGTATAAAGCCTTATAACTGCTTTATTTTTCTCTCCCCCGTCTCTAGGTTTAGACATTCATAAATGGAATGTTAGAATTATCTCAGACAGTGTAAGAAACAGGGTGGTGGTGATGCTCTAAGTATGCCCATAGTCATTCCCAGGAGCAGGCCCACCAGCAGGACGAAACCTTTCACATAACCAAAGCTGGCATCACAGCCCACCTGGAGAGAGAGGCCTGGGAGCATCCAGTGGGATCCTGTAGTTGAGAGAGCAAGACAGATAAGAGTATGGTAGTCAGCCAAGGGATACAGAAAGGGAAGAGGAAAAGTTGTGAGATGAGAATCCCTGAACCTCTTTCTGTAGCTAACTGTTGATGAGCATCTAGTTCATCACATATAGGAGAGATTTCTCTACAGAATGTTAGAATTTTCTGTTGACAGTATAGTACTGCAGAAAGAATGTTGGATTAGGAGTCAGAAGGCCCAGGTTTTAAATCTGATTCCATCAATTACTAGCTGCGTGAATTTAAACTATATTATCTATAAGAAATATCTTTAAAACAAGGATGGATAAATTGCTCACCATCCAGTGTTATAGTCATCAACTGGAACTCTAGCTAAGAAAGAATTTTGTAAAATTGTCAAAGACCTTGCAACTGTATGATACCACTGCATCTCTCTCACAACCAAAAGACTGCGTTCCATGAAGAGCTCTATGCTGAGGGAGGAAATAGATACAAAGAACATAACATACAGATTAATGTAGAGTCAGTGCTTAATTCTTGTTTGTTTAGGTGATGTGAAAGATTCCTAGAAGAAATTCATATGTTGATTTACCTGCTTCTGCATGCAAATTGCGTCTCATACCTGACTTTTCCAGTTGTCCGGAAGGGGCAAGTGGTGGTTGGGGCCTCCATACTTCTCATTGTAGTAGATGTAGGTGTTGAGATCGGGGAAGTTGCGGTTCAGGTCCACTCCATTTGCATTGTTCCTGCCAACCAGATACCCAGAAATGTCTGGACCCTAGTGGGAAAATGAAGAAATGAAAATAAAGGTTTCAGACTGAATCCTATATTTGAAGACCACTGTATAATTCTTTTTAAACATTAGCTTAATCTATCAAACAATGAAGCATTCTCCTCTTTAACGTATCCAAAGTCCCAGTGGCATGGTTCAAGTTCTCTGTGGACCATGTGCTGCAGGTAGAGATCCCAAGAGAAACTCTAACAAGAAAAGGGTGTTTTAGGGTAATGGGAACCCCTATTTTTAAAAAGCAGTTGTATTGAGGTATAACTTACATACCATAAAACTCACCCACTTTAAGGGAGTTAAATGAATTGTGGTATGCTTACTGAGGTGTGCAACCATCACCACAATCTAATTTAAGCATATTTCTATCACCCTGCAAAGAAAGCTCATGACTGTTTACAGCCACTCATTTCTATTCTAGCCTAAGGTAATCACTTCCTGTCTCCATAGGTTTGCCTTTTCTGGACATTTGAATAAGTGGGATCATATATTATGTGTTTGGCTTTTTTTACTGGGCATAATGTTTTTGAGATCCCCCCATGTACTATGTATCAGTGTTTCATTCCTTTTTATTGCAGAATAATCCCATTATATGGATTTCTAAAAAATGTTTATAAACATTTTGTTTATCCACTCACCAGTTAATAGACTATATTAGCTTCCTGGGGCTGCTGTAACAAATTACCACAAACTAGGTGGCTTATAACAACAGAAATTTATTCTCTCAAGTTCTGGAGGCAGGAAGTCTGAAATCAAGATGTCAACAGGGTCATGTTCTCTAAAGGCTCTAGAGGAGGATTTATCCTTTTTTGTGTCTCTTCTAACTTCCCAGGGTTGTTGGCAACTCCTTAGCTTAGAGAAGCATCATTCCAATATCTACTCCCATATTCACATTGCCTTCTACACTGTTTGTCTTTTTTTCTTATAAGGATACCAGTCATATTTAACTTAATCACCAGACCTATGACTGGTCTTAACTTGGTTATGTATTTCACATTCATAGGTTCCAGGTAGACATGAATTTTAGAGAGACACCATTCAACCCAGTACATGGATACTTGGATTTTTTTCCATTTTTAGGCTGTTGAGAATATTGCTGCTATGAATGTGTATGTGCCAAGTCTTTGTGTGGATGTATGTTTTCATTTCCCTTGGGTAGATACCTAGTAACAGAACTGATGGGTCATAAGATATGTCTACATTAACTTTTTCAGAAACTGCTAAACTGTTTTCCAAAGTGGCTGCACCATGGAAACCACCCTACCCCCTTTGTTATTTTTTATTTAGGATCCTTATCTTTCTTCTGAGAAATGTCAACTTCCTGGATCCTTTCATTTCTCTGCTCACACTTCAAATTTTATCATTTATATGGTCATGTATTCACTCTTTCATTCATCCACTTAGTCTATCAACATTTATTAAGTCACCTCTATTCAAAGCCCTCCGAAAGACACTAGGGAAAGAGACAATGAGAGGCAGATTTATACATAAATAATTAAGATATGTAAAGTAAGATACATTCAAAGGCCCTTGCAAAATCGAAATCTCATTTAATGTTTTGTGTGGCAGTAGAAAAGGGAATGGTGGACTGAGAGAGCAGAGCTCAAACTGGAGGCCACTCCTGAAAGCAGGTAAGTAGATGGACACGGGGCAGCCAAAAACTCACAGACATAGTACTGCTCTCATGTTTTTCTAAGAAGTCTTTTTTTTATCAGCTTTCTCTACTTTTCATGGCATCCTGCTTTTGTTCTATTCTTAGACCTCATTGAGTGCATATAAATTTTTTAATTCTCTTATGTTTCCTATGTCAGTTCTATTTCAGTGGAAAACATTTATGATTTTTCAATTTGGAGTCTGACTTTCCAGTGTGAGATAACGGTTTCCATCATGTTCCCAGGCGTTTTTCACTATTTGCTCATTTGTATCAACATAACTCATATCTGTGCGTATTATCAGCCATGATAATTTACCTCCCAGTTGATTTATCACTCACACTGGGTCATTAGTGAGGCTGGCAGGTAAGGACCTCCCTTAACAGATGGTTCCCTTAAACCAGGTTGGTGCCATATTAGTTTCCTATTACTGCTGCAACAGATTACCACAAACTCAGTGGCTTAAAATGGCAAACGCCAATTATCTTACAGTTTGGGAGATCATAATACTAAAATTGAGGTGTCAGCAGGGCTGTGTTCCTTCTGAAGTGTCCAGAGGAATCTGTTTCCTAACTTCTCCAGCTTCTAGAAGCCACCCACATTTTCTGGCTCTAGTCCCTTCTTTCATTGTCAAAGCCAGTGGTATAACATCCTTAAATCTCTCTTTTAACTGTGACATTCTCCTTCCCTCTTCCACATTTAAAGGACCCTTGTGATTGATTACACTGGGCCTACCCATATACCCAGGATATTTTAAGGTCAGTTGATTAACAACCTTAATTCCGTCTGCAACCTGAATTCCCCCTTGCCATGTAACATAACATATTCACGGGCTCTAGGCATTAGGATTTGGACAGTTTTGGAGGACATTATTCTGCTTTACTCATAGGTGGCTTTAAAGTTTGCGGCCAGACAGCTATTCCTTATGTAGCCTTGCAGACAGGTTTCCTCTGGATATAGCAGGCAGTTTTGGGAGTTTGAGAACCTAGGCTCTTGGGTTCAGGTTCAAGATGTGCTCCCTCTGAACAAGTACACAGCAGGTGAGCAGAGGCAACTGACTTCCCAAAGATGGCTCTAGGATTCACTGAGCTGTTAGGGGCTTTCCCCACTGCCTTCCACCACACCTCATCCCACAAAAGACATGGTCAGTAATGAGATGCTTCTGCAATTTCCCCATGGCAATGCAGGGAAGGGGCACCAACAGAAAGAAGCCAAGTGGGACTTTGCCCCCCCACCGACCTCTTTCAGATTTTCCTGGTATTTTGGCAACTCAAGTCTCAAGTCATATTAGTGTATACCTCTCTGATTTCAGTGGGGTCAAAATTTTCTTTTTTTATTTGTTGACTCATGGCAGGAAGGTTTTGAGAGATTGTAAGGGTCAAATCTGTGTATTGTTCAACATTTTAGCTCCTGCCTCTATTCATGCCCTAGCCCTGTCCTCAAATAGGTTTAAAATGAGAAGGGCCAGACGTGGGAGGACAGATGCTGTGTGGTTCCACCTGTATGGGACAGATGTGTCTGATTCATGAAATCAGGGAGGACCATGGTTGTCAAGGGGTGGGAGGAAGGGGAAATGGGGGATTACTAACAAAGGGGCATGAACTTTTGGTTGAGCAGGAGAGATAAATTCTGGAGATCAGCTGTATAACATTGTCCTTATAGTCAACAATACTGTTATTGCTCACTTAATTTTGTTAAAAGGGTATATCTTGTCTTTACATAAAAAGTAAAGTGGTGAAGTCGTCTTTAAAATGAAAAAACATTTTCAAGACTAACCGAAGTTAAACAAATTTTTAAATATTAAAACAACTCTCTTTCTATTCCCCACCACAAATCAAATAAATGAGGTTTTAAAGGAACATATCCATTGTGTAAAGCAGAGCCTGGCTTCTCCACTGAAAATTCTAATTCAGTAAATTGGGGGGGTGGGGGTGGGAGGGGACCTGGGAATCTGCATTTCAAATATCTTCACCTATGATTCTGGTGCAGAGGCGTAAAAGAACCACTGATTTACAATTAAGCACTGACATTTTGAATTTATATGAGAAACAAAGTAAAAGCCCACAGACATTTTTCTTATCTATCCCATGGAAAATGTAACTCTAAAATAAAGAATTAAAAGGCTGAGAACTATACTAGTAAAAGGAAAAGCTGTACAGAAATACAATAAAGTATGAAGAATCTAGAATTAACACCCTACCCTTCAATTCTGGGGAAAGCTTACTCTATTCCCCCACCCCAAACACAAATGGAAGCATAGCGTGGAAAGAAGCATATTTAAGGTTCAAAGCCAAAAGTTCAGGGAAGATGTAGTTTGTAATATCCTTTCACATTGGTTTAGTATTTTCCAGTTTACAAAGTGTTGTCACAGATATGGCCTGATTGATCCTCGGAGTAAAAACGGGGGAGGTGGGGCAGCTGGAAAGGTATTGGGACCTGAAGCTAGAAGACAGCCCACATTCACTGCCTAGGGTGAACACTGTACTTTATTATATTTCTATGTATAATAATTAACTCCATACTGTATTATATTTTTACACAGTGACATTTACAGTGGGACAGAGAGGACACCTTGTCCAGTGGCTTCACATATTCCTCAGATGGCTTCCCTCTGCTGAGCCCGGCCCTCAGGCCCAGTACCTGGGCGGCGGCCACCTCGTAGCCATCTGGGTTCATGGACGGCAGGATGTGAATGCGCGTGTCCTGCACCAGCCGGACGATGCGCTGGTTCCCGTTGCGGAACTCCTCGCACAGGAACTCCGACAGCTGTAGCAGCAGCTCCCGGCCCAGCACCTCGTCACCGTGCATGTTCGCCACATACTTGACTTCCGGCTCCACTGCAAGCGTGAGAAAAACACGCAGGTGGATAAAAAAATGAGGAAAGCTTTAAGTGCCACTGATGCCTAACCTTGCAAAGGAATCTTTTCTTTCTTTTCCAGAAGTGAATAAAAGAAAATCTCATGCTTCTTTGGGTCTTTTCCAATAATCCCTGAACCCCTTTAACAAAATTACAATTACAAATGTTATAAAAATTCATTCCACAGATAATATCATTATTTATTGAACCCCTACTGTGTATGAGGCATTTATGTTCATTATTGCTAATCTTCACCAGAGACCTGCTCAGCAGGTATTATTAACCTCAGGACGAAGGTCCTAGGTATGGAAGAGGTTAGGTACCTTGCCTGAGGTCACCTAGCTAATGAATATGATGGAAACCAAGGCCCATGTGGTGTTTATAGCAGTTCAATGTTTCTCAGAGACAGCTCTTTTCAGGATGAGAATGGTATTTTTCCAAGATCTGCTGGCATAAAATACTCTGGATTTTAGCATAACAGTTCCTAATTATCCCAGTTGAAAACAATCTCCCTGGTACTCAGGAAGCTGAACTCTCTCCTTAGTATCTGAGAATGCCATGTCTTGGAAGTGCAGAGTAGGAAGGAGTCTACAGATGTCTCATTCCCTAGTCTCCTCTTTGGCTACCTGAACTGTTGAACTGAAAGAAGAATTGAGGTCATGAAAAGAACCTCTCAAGCCACTTAAAGAAAATGATTCTTGCCCCCTGTAAAAAGAAGAACAGCGCTCACCAAGTGATTTCCCTTCCACCCAACAGTGTCCTCCTCCATAGCTTTCCTGATTCTGTACCTCTTCAGCTCCACATTTCCAAATCTACTTCACATCCTTCTAGGTTCAATTCAAATGTTACCCCGGGAAGCCAGCTTGGGTCCTCCGTGCTCAGAGGGAACAGGCTATTGAACTTCCTTTTTATGGTAGTTACCACTTTCTACTCTATGTTTTACCTAATTTTGCACAAATCCTGTTTCCTTTACTAGACCTGGCCTTTGCAATGTATGCAATTTTTAAATTTTCTTTAGGGTACACCCCATTGTTATTTATCTTAGTAAACCTAGACCAATCTTTCCCAAAGGAATGTCTATAACCCAGAAGGATCATGTAGTAGATTTTCTGTAATGTGTATTCTGTAATCATAGTGTATTTCTTTAATCTTAGATTATGTTTTCCTTACATTTCATGGTGTTAAAATATCCCTTCAACATCCTTGTTCAGTAAAATAGCACTTGGAAAATCTATTTTAGTCTTTTCCAATCTCTCTTATTTAATAAAAAATGTTTAAACTTCTGTAAAATCCAAACATCTGGGAACCACTGCCCAGTAGAACCTAGCGTAGTGCTTTGCACTTGGTAGATGCTTAGTATAAAATTATTTTGTCTCTACTCCCCATGTATCCAGAATACAACCACTTCTCATAAACCACTGTTATTCTTTTGATTCAAGCCTCCACACCCTATTTCTGGATTATTGCAATAAATAATTTACTAAAATTTATCTTCTTCAACTCCTTGCATCTGCCCAGCCCCATTAAAAGCTGTTCTCCTGGGTCAAGGGCCGCCAAGCTTCTGTGAAGGGCCAGGACAGTAAGCACGTTGGGCTTCACAGGCTATATGGTCATTGTTGCATTTACTCAGCTCTTTACTGAAAGCATACATGGATGATACAAAAACTGTGAGTGTGACTGTGCTTCAGTGAAACTATTAAGCACAACAGGTAGCTGGCCCTCAGTCACCTTTTAAAAATTTAAGTCAGATTATGTCACATTGCTGTTTAAAATCCTCTGGTGACTTCTCACTTCACTCAAAAGCCAAGATCTTTTCAAAGGCCTGTAAGGCGAACATGATCACCCCCTGCCGGTGTGCCCCACCACCCTGCTCTGAGCTTGCTTTCCCATTGTTCACTCTGCTGGAGCCGCAGGAACCTCCTTACTATTCCTCACACGAGCTGAGTATACCCCAGCTTTTCCTTCATCTGCAACAAGTAGATTTTCTGTAATGTGTATTCTGTAATCATAGTGTATTTCTTTAATCTTAGATTATGTTTTCCTTACATTTCATGGTGTTAAAATATCCCTTCAACATCCTTGTTCAGTAAAATAGCACTTGGAAAATCTATTTTAGTCTTTTCCAATCTCTCTTATTTAATAAAAAATGTTTAAACTTCTGTAAAATCCAAACATCTGGGAACCACTGCCCAGTAGAACCTAGCGTAGTGCTTTGCACTTGGTAGATGCTTAGTATAAAATTATTTTGTCTCTACTCCCCATGTATCCAGAATACAACCACTTCTCATAAACCACTGTTATTCTTTTGATTCAAGCCTCCACACCCTATTTCTGGATTATTGCAATAAATAATTTACTAAAATTTATCTTCTTCAACTCCTTGCATCTGCCCAGCCCCATTAAAAGCTGTTCTCCTGGGTCAAGGGCCGCCAAGCTTCTGTGAAGGGCCAGGACAGTAAGCACGTTGGGCTTCACAGGCTATATGGTCATTGTTGCATTTACTCAGCTCTTTACTGAAAGCATACATGGATGATACAAAAACTGTGAGTGTGACTGTGCTTCAGTGAAACTATTAAGCACAACAGGTAGCTGGCCCTCAGTCACCTTTTAAAAATTTAAGTCAGATTATGTCACATTGCTGTTTAAAATCCTCTGGTGACTTCTCACTTCACTCAAAAGCCAAGATCTTTTCAAAGGCCTGTAAGGCGAACATGATCACCCCCTGCCGGTGTGCCCCACCACCCTGCTCTGAGCTTGCTTTCCCATTGTTCACTCTGCTGGAGCCGCAGGAACCTCCTTACTATTCCTCACACGAGCTGAGTATACCCCAGCTTTTCCTTCATCTGCAACATTTTCCTCCCTAGTATATCAGTATGGTACACTCCATCACATGCTCAAAAATCACCTCAAAGGAAAAGCTTTTCCCTAACAGCAATGATCACCCCCACCCTGCTCAATCCACAGTCTGCCATGGCATTCCCTATCTTTCTTCCCTGGTTTATTTTTTTCTACAGTATTTATTTTCATCTGATATAATTTGAAATGGCCATTCAAATTGTTTCTGTCTTACACCACTAGAATTTATTGCCTGTCTTAACACCACTAGAATTAAGGCCCTGAGGACCGCTATTCTTTATTGTATATTCAGAGTCTACAAAAGTGTTTGCATATAGGAGATAATCAGTAATATTTGTGGAATGAATAAAGGATAAATGAGAGAGGAATTATTGGATGAACAGCTAAGTTATAGGGCATCAGAGAAGAGAGGGATCAGTGGGGGCTAGGATAGGATGAAAAAGCTTTGAGGAAGGCCTGGAATGCTAGAAAGTAGAGGGCGCATCAAGAAGGGGGCATGGAATGAGGGCATGTAACGTCCACTAGCGCCTACATGCTTCCACAATGAACACACAACCTGAGCAAAGCAGCATGCTTTCTACGCAAGGGCAGCTTCAAAACAAGGCCCTTATCCTCACTTCCTCCCAGGGCCTTCCTTGAGCCTCCCACTGGTCATGTAATATGCTGAAGCTTCAGGACAGAAGCCACTGGGCATAAGGTTATCATGATGGTTTTTAAGCAGGAGAGTGAGAGGATTACATCAGTACCTGGGAAAATTATTCTGGTTATCTGTGTGCTAAACAGAAAATTTAGAGAGTGGCAGTTTGGACTTAGGAGAAGTTAGGTGGTAGTTAGGACAATCAGGGGCCTAGTGCAATAATTAAGGATGGTTTTGATGGGGTTGGGAACTGGGTTAGAAGTGGAGAGGAAAGAAAGATTTGAAGTTGACAGTTTGAAGGAGGAACTGACATAATTTGAAGTTGCTATAACTACAATGGCTGTGTGTAAGTAAAGGAGTGAGAAATTAGAAACAATTTAAATGGCCATTAATAAATGAACAATTACATATAATCATGCAATGGAATATTATGCAACCAAATCATGATGATGCAGATCTACATTTACAGACATGGATGCTACTCATAAAAGACTATGAAATAAGAAAAGCAGTTATAATATTATTCCACATTTATAGAAAAAAATTGCATGTGTGTGTAAGGGGGTGGTGGTTTAAACATGCATAGAAAAAAGTCTGGAAGGATATACATCAATACATTAACAGTGGTCATCTGTGAGTAGTGGGACTATGGGAGAGTTTTATCTATTTTTTTCCTTATTAAATTTTTATTTTAACCCAAATACAGATTGCTTTTATAATAGAAACAAACTAACAAAAAATGATCCAATGAATAAAACTAATACCCTAGGCTTCCAACTCTCTCCAGGATCCTGCACTCTATCGCACTGTCATTCCCCGAGAGGTACCCTTAACCCCTTTCAAGCTTCCTGGAAGACTAAAAGAGCTCATTGTTTCTGCTTATGTCTCCTGGGGCATTGGATGGGGAAGAGAAAATAACAGCAGGGGAGAAAGAACAGTAATGGGATGGAAGGCAGGGCAATGGGATGGGAACAGGGAAGACGACTCACCTTTTGCCATTAAGGTCTTGAACAAACAGAATCCAAAAAGGAGGAAAAGACTGAAGACTGAATTGGGGTTACAGCTCCCCAGAGACTAGGGCAGCATGAGGGCTTAGCAGGGAAACATTCAGCACAGTCTGAGGAAGAGATGATACTTCATAGGTGGGGGGGTCCACAGACCTCCCCAGAAACCACCCCGATTACTGGATCTGTAAGGAAAGGGTCCTGCCCCATATGCTCCAAGAACTGCTCAGGGCTTACAGGGCTCGTGGATTCCAGGGTAGTCGCTGAATTCCAGTACGTAGAGGTGTCTCCCCTTCACACTGCGTCCGATGCTGTAAACCCGGGTGATGTAACGGCATTCATTGTGCACCTTGTACAGCATCCGCACGAGGTCGTCATAACGGTGGTGGTGAAAGGTCATGGGGGCAATCAACTTGAAGAGAAGGAGGAGGTGGAGAAAGACTGAGCACAGATTTGACATCTTGGTGAGCTTTTCCAGAGATCCACTGAAATGGGCCGCACCTCTTCCCAAACCAGTCAAAATCCAAGGGCCGAGAGCCAGCTCTTCCTAGTTTACTCCCAGTGAATGCCAGTGTGACAGCCCCTGGGAAGGAGGTGCAAAACTGTCCTGTCTGAAGCTGAGAATTATTTATGTAGCTCTGGAATAGCCACTCATCTCCCCTCCCCCATTTCTCTGCCTCTCCTAATCCAGCAAAGTCTTTTGAAAGGTTTTTGTACTTCTCCAGATTGGGTAGTTTCACTGGTTCTGGTTTACTGATTAACTGGACTGTAAACAGGCTTTAATAAATAGCTGTTTATAACCCTTTGATTCCCAGAGGATTTTGAGAAACTTGGCCTGTGCTCATTCCTGATATTATAATTTAAGCAGGTGTACTAAAATAAAGCCCTCTATCTCTTTTGATCCATCCCACATACAACTGCCAGACTATCTTTCTAAAGCACAGCTCTGTCTTGTCCCTTTTTTCCTCAAAAATATTTCAACAGATACCATTGCGAAAATGAAAAGATGAGCCACAGGCTGGGAGAAAATAATGGCAAATCATATATCTGATAGTAAACATACAGAATACGTCAAGTGCTGTTACAACACAGTAGCAGTCCTATTTAAAAATGGGGAAAATACTGAATAGACATTTTACCAAAGTAGATATATAAATGGCTAATGTGCACATCAAAGATGTTCAACATCATTGGTCAATAAGGAGATACACCTTAAAATCACAATTAGATATCACTGCACATCCAATAGCTATAATGAAAAAGACACAATAACAAGTGTTGACAAGAATAGGGAGAAACTGGAAACTTCACATATTTCCAAAGGGTATGTAAAGGGCACAGCACTTTGGAAAACAGTTTTACAGTTTCCTAAAAGGTAAATATACACTTACTGGTTAACCCAGGAATTTCACTCCTTAATATAGACCCAAGAGAAATGAAAAACTTTTATGTGAGTGCTCACAGCAGTGTTATTCAAAGTAGACAAAAGTAGAAACAATCCAAATGTCCATAAATTGGTAAATGAATAAACAGAAGATGGCATATCAGTGCAATGGAATATCTTTTGACAATAAAAAAGGTCAAGTAGTGATATATTATACAACATGGATGAACCCTAGAAATATTATGCTCAGTGAAAGAAGTCAGTCACAAATGAGTATATATTATTGATCCAATTAATATAAAATGTTTAGAACAGGCAAATATATAGAGACACAAAGTAAATTAGACATTGTCTAAGGCTGGGAGTGGAAATGCAGAATGACTATATATATAGGCACTAGATTTCTTCTGAAGGGGATAAAAGTGTTCTAAATTTTGATTGTCGTGATTGTACAACTCTGTAAATATACTAAAACTCATTGAATTTTATACTTAAAGCAAGTGAATTTTATGGTACACAAATTATATCTCAGTAAAGCTACTTTTAAAAAAGAAATAAAATAAGTAAAACCCTCTAAAAGTTAACTATAAGTTTACCATGCAACCCAACAATTCCACTCCAGGAGAACAAAGACTTGCACACAAGAATGTTCATACAAGCACTAATAATAATAGGCAAAAGGTGGGAACTACCCAATGTCCATCAGTTGGTGAGTAGATAAATAAAATGTGGTATATCCATGCAATTGAACACTGTTCAGCAAAAGAAAGGAACAAAATACTAACACATGCTACAACTTCAAAAATGCTATGCTAGTGAAAGAAGCCAGCACAAAAAGCCACATAGTATATGATTCCATTTATAGGAAATGCCCTGAAAAAGTAAACCTACTGAGACAGAAAGGAAAATAGTTATTACCTGGGGCTGGGGATGGGAGTAGGGGGTTCACTGTAAATGGGCATGAGGGGATCTTGTTGGAGTGATGAGGATGTTCTAAAATGGATGATTGTGATGACTGCAGTGATGACTGCACAATGTGATAAATTTGCTAGAAATTGTTGAATTGTACACTTAAAATGAGTGAATTTTTATTTTATTTTATTTTGGTATCATTAATCTACAATTACATGAAGGACATTATGTTTACTAGGTTTCCCCCTTCACCAAGTCCCCCCCACATACCCATTCACAGTCACTGTCCATTAACATAGTAAGATGCTGTAAAATCACTACTTGTCTTCTCTGTGTTGCACAGCTCTCCCCGTGCCCCCCACACTATACATGTTAATCGTAAGGCCCCCTTTCTTTTTTCCCGCCCTTATCCCTCCCTTCCCACCCATCCTCCCCACTCCCTTTCCCTTTGGTAACTGTTAGTCCATTCTTGGGTTCTGTGCTTCTGCTGCTGTTTTGTTCCTTCAGTTTTCTTTTGTTCTTATACTCCACATCTGAGTGAAATCATTTGGTACTTGTCTTTCTCCACCTGACTTATTTCACTGAGCATAATACCCTCTAGCTCCATCCATGTTGTTGCGATGGTAGGATCTGTTTTAAAATGAGTGAATTTTATGGTATGTAAATTATACCTCAATAACATTGCTTTTAAAAAACAAAGTTTCAGTGGATCTTCATGCACTATAGCATAAAACCCAAATGCCTCAGCCTGGTCTTCAGGTCCTTCCGACCAGGTCCACTTGGGACTTGTCATCCTGTCCCTCATTCCAGTGCAGCCCCGCACCACCTACTGTCTTCTGAGCATGGCCTCATTGCAGATTCCTGCTCTGCTCATGCTGTTTCCCCAGGTAGCTTACCCAACTCCAGATCCTGGGTCTTCCTCACCTCCCTTGCAACCGCCGCTACAATGAGTCTTTGTATCTCCAATGCTTATTGCTTTGCCTGTTAGGTACTTAGCCACTACGCTAGGTGTTAGTGCCAGAATCGATTGCAGCCCTGCTGACACACCATTCCTGCCCTTCCAGGATGGTCATCAGCCTTAGCCCAGAGCCTGACACTGGTGCACATTTGTTGAATGAATGAACAAGTGAACCCATTATTGACTTTCCCTTGTGCATCCTGCTGCTTTGCCTTAGAAACTTTCCCAAGGAAATTCTATGCTTTTATAATATGTCAGTAAAGACAGTTACTCCCTCTTGGATACATTGGGTGAATACTATATAGCCAGGACAGTCTGGCCCACAGATAGTCCAGACGGTGGGCCCAAGATAAGTACCAAATTTGTAGAACCACCAGGCTTCTGCCTTACACCCACGACTGCTAAAATCCAATAATTTTCTGATGAGATACCCTATGTGGCAAAGGCAGGGAATCAAGAGAGAAGGCTCAGAACACATCACTAGTTCTGTCACGCATTGTCAGTGTTCTCCTTGATCTAGGACAGTATCTACTGTGACTACTGAAGGCTTGGCTTAGCAGCTTCCAGATAACACGAAATTGCTCCTCTATAGAAGGATTGCCAATTTTCTGGTAGTTCTTACGGAAACCTTGCTCATACTTAACAGATAATCCCCATTCTCTAGGAGAGGATCCCCCTCCTTGCATGTCTGGACTTCAGGTTGTTGTAAACTGGGAATGCTCTCTGAGTATCAGACTGAGGTTGTCCCTTCCTGGAATTCTACACAGAGTACCAGAGCATGTGTCCTGAAACCAGAGTGTATACAACGTTCCTCAAAATTGAAGTCGAAAGAGCTTCAGTGTCAGAAGCATATGATACTTAAAAATTGTTTCCAACTTCCTGGACATATGACACATATATAACATTGTGTACACTGAAGGTGTATGGCTTGATGGATTGACATGTGCATATCTTGCAAAATCATTACCACAACAGGGTTAACATCTCCATCACCTTAGTTATCTGTGTGTGTGTGTGTGTGTGTGTGTGTGTGTGTGTGTGTGTGTGTGTGTGTGAGAGAGAGAGAACATTTAAGATCTACTCTCTTCTTTCAAGTATATAATACAGTATTGTTAACTATAGTCACCATGCTGCATAGTAGATCCCCAGAACTTACTCACCTTATGACTGGAGGTACCTTTTGACCAACATCTCCTTTCCCCCACCCCAAGCCCCCGGAAACCATCATTCTACTGTTTGAGTTTGGCTCTTTTAGTTTCCATATATAAGTGAGATCATACAGTATTTGTCTTCCTCAGTTTTATTTCACTTAGCATAATGCAGAAGGATATAATTTTAAATACAAGTTCAGCTCCCTCTTAGGCCATTCGGCTTTGGGCAAATTAATTAACTTCTCTAAACCTCAGTTTCTTTATGACATTTCTCTCTACAGCATGGAGAAAAAACAGCTCCTTCCTCATGAGTTGTGTGGGTCAAATAATATAATGTATGCAAGCCCTTTGCACATAGTAAGGGCTCAAAAAATATTATTAGCAAGGATCATTAAGTATGTACTCTGTGATATAGACTGTGCTGGTGATGGGGACATGATTCATTCATTCAACAGATATACAGAGAGCCTTTACTACTAAAGGCTAAAGGCTTTACTTCTTATTTTCAGTCTAAAATAAAACCAACAAAGATGCCTGCCCTTGAGGTGCTTATATTCTAGTGAAGAGACAGACAATCAAGAGCAGAAAAGGCAGTCTCTGTCCTCAAAGATACAGATCAGTGAACAAGCACAACACTGGGAGAAGAGTGATGGATGGAACCACATGGGGCCACCAAGTAGGGTCATGTAACTTAGTTTTGGAGGGTCAGGGAGGGCTTGCTGGAGGATATGTGGGAGTTGAACTAGATCAGAGTCCTGTCTCCCCTTGCAGTAGGTGTAATAATGGCCCCCAAAAGATGTCCACAACCTGATCCCTGGAATCTGTGAATATGTTATGTTACATGGCAGTGAAGAGTGCCGTCTGCAGATGGAACAAAGGTTGGTGATCAGCTGATCCTGAGATGGAAGGATTGTCCAGGCAGGCCCACTGTAATCACAAGCATCCTTATAAGTGAAAGAGGAAGGCAGGAGGGTCAGAGTCAGAGTGATGTGATGTGAGAAAGACTCAGCGGTCCATGGCTGGCTTGGAAGATGCATGAAAGGGCCTATGAGTCAAGGAATGCAAGCAGCCTCTAAAAACCACAAAAGGCAAGGAGACTTATTCTCACCTAGAGCCTCCAGAAAAGAATGCAGCCCTGCCAGCATCATGATTTTAGTCCAGAGAGACCCATTTTAGGTTTCTAATCTCCTGAACTGTAGAATAATTAATTTGGGTTGTTTTAAGCCACTACACTTGTGGTAATTTTTTTTACCACAGCAATAGGAAACTACCACACCCTTTAATACCTTA